TTTTCACAGCCTGGTAGACAGCATAGCTGTTTAGAGCAGTTTGTGACAAGTCGCAAAAAAGGGAGGATAAAGGAATTTGCATTAGACCAGGTTGTCCAATCTCCCATTGTTAACCTGCCAGCAAATCTTTGCTACACAGGAAGTCTCAAAGAAGAACTCTCAGTTTTAAGATCCTTATTTTTCCATCTGTACAGAGGCTGCTTTCCCAACACTATCGAGAAGGCAACAGCTGCATTTGCTGTTGTCTACTCCAACAGGTCACATTAGGAAGATCTATTTACTGTTGACAGGATTTGGAACAGAACGTTATTTCTGCATGAAGAGTTCACAGCCCACTGGCAAGGTCATTACAATTAGCTCATGCATGTTTATTGGAGAAATTTAAGCATTAATACTCATTCATTTGTACAAATTTGTGCTTTTATATAAAATAAATTTCTGTGCTTCTTAAAGCTTTGTTTCTTATGAATATGAAAGATCACTGCCATTGATAGAGACCTGTAATATAGAGAACAACTTATAATGCAGCAACAATAATAATGTTGTCAATATAAAACAACAGGGACAAATATTATGAAATTGAAATAATTTCAATTTCCATTGCTGGAACAAGAAATCTTCTTTATGATCAAGACTGATTTATCTCAGTTTAGCATAGCGTAAATAGCCTACTTTGACAGGCAAATGAAATATCAATAGATTAAGTGAATTTACAAATTAAGTGAAATATTATGAATCATCAATGAATATGCCAGGTGAGTAGATCTACCGATAATTTATTTCATTGCATTAAAAGTTTACAAGGATGAATTACTTGCCATGTGAGTCTTTATGTACCTGGAAGAAGTGTATTTAAAATGCATTTGCAAAACCACTGAGGTGATACCAGAAATTAATGATTACTTTTCTTTCAGATGCTTCAGAATAGCCTTTTTTCACATTATTGGAGAAAACGGCAAATGAAAAGCCAAAAGTAAACAACAACAGCACCCAGATCTCACAAAGGAACAGAGGAAACCAAATGCCAGTGAAGAGCTACAGAAATAAAACAGGCAAGCTATCCAGACAAGATTTTTAAGCCCAAGGAAGTTGATTCTGATGTATACTCTAATATGAACAGTATTTTTTTGAGGATACAGTGATATAACGGCACAGGAATAACATACGGCTTAGAATGGACTCTAAAACTGACATGGGAAAGCCAAGTGGAAGAGAATAACAGAGTGAGACAAGTTGAAAGTATGGATGCCTGTTCAAAAAAACAGGTCTTAAAGATACATGAAATGCTGCACAGGCAGCAAAAAAATCAAACCATAAATGTTGAGTTGGTTAGGCTTTTATTTTTGTGGTGGTAATTTCCTTTTAAAAACAAAATACAGTTGCCCAACATCAAAATTAAGATGACTGCAGTTCATCCCAGAGGATACATCACATCTAGAAAGTTTGGAATAGGATGGGATACTGAAGTACTGCAACTGCCAACTCCTAGAAAAGTTTGTAACTATTTATTGTTAAATCTAAAATAGCAGCAGCATTCCTTAGCTTTTCATTTTGTAAGACTGTGATATTTCACAACTATTCATCTCAATTTATAAACAATTAAAATGCTAAAATTTTCATTTTCTGACAGTCATTCTGAATGGATTCTTGCAGGTTTTTGTATATTTGCTGTTTAAAGAAAGTGGGTGAAAACTTTGGGGATTCAAATAATGCCTGTATGTGTAGGAGAGAAGCAAAAGGAAGATTAAACCCTAGTAGATAAGTGGATACAAAGTCATGCTTGAGGATGTTGTTCCTCCTCGAAAGCAGATGATGTGTCTTCAGATATTTCTTAAAAAAATTCTGATAGAATTCCAATAGAAAGAAGAAAACGTGGAGAGGGAAGAGACGTTACAGATGTTATAATACCTACAGTCTGAACAAAGGAGAACATCTTTTCTTCGGTAACAGTGAGGAACAAGAGCCCAAGTCAAGCCACTTTCACTTGCATTCTTGTGCCCCTTTGAGGCTACATGGACCCCTCAAGACCATAAGAGCACAGCATCAAGTACAGCAAGTATGAATTCCCCTCCACCCAACTATTTCAGTTTGTGAAGGCCTTGATTTGTAGCCATACTAACCATTCGGGCTATACTGAAAGTAGGAGAGGGAATCTGCTCATAAAATACACAAAAGCAAATTTGCTGTGTAACTGAATGTTGGCAGGCTTGAGCTGCATTGCCTTTGCTGTTAAGACTCATTTATCTTCACGGGTTATCTGCTAGAGCTGCACCCGAGTACACTTTGCTAATTTTCTCTGCTAGGAAAAATAACACAGTTCTTGGAATCCAAACACAGAACTATTTTCACTCATTTATTTGTCTCCAATTTATAATTCACCCTTCTAATCAGAGCAATAAGCTAGAGAATTTAATGTAAGTGTTTCCGCAGATATCCACTCCAGTCCACTGAAATTATACCAGAGGTTACGCAGGGAACCCATCTCTGTAATAATGGACTTTCTATACTATATAGCCAAATACTACACCCAAAAGGAATGTATAGTGGAAATCCTCTCCCATACTTTTACGGCAACTGTCTGCTTTCCCAGACAACTGGCATCCATGCAGGCTCTACAACACAATCTGTGCCTTATCTTCATGCTGAATTCACTGTGTAACGCTACAATTACTTAGAAAGGCTACATATTCTATATTATCTGTACACATTTATATTTTATCTAATGCTAACTCTGGTTAAACAGAATTATTGATATCACTAGCAGGATGTATAATTTTGAATTTGCTTTGTTGCTAGGGTTAAAACAATACAGAACAGTGAATTAACCATAGCTTCTTGTATCAGTAAAGTGTATAAGAGAGACGTGTCACTGTAAGAAACACTGACATAAAATAGAAAAGAACAAGCTACAGGAAAGCCTTTCAACTGAATACAGAGGAAGAAAAAAATACAAAGGAAGAAAAAATAATAATGAAAGGCAACTTTTTTCTCCTTTTTAGCCTGCTGGCTAAAATGTATCAGCTTGAACTCCCCCAAAAATCCAACAAAAAATTCTCATGATTTTGCTGTACCATATTTAAGGAAGCTGACTGAGCAAAATGTAATAGAATACATTAAAAAAATAAAATTAAACATATTACTATTAGAAGACAGAGGTTGAGGACCTGTGTATGTTAAACCAGTTTGAGAAAGATGCTCAGTACATATTACTGTACTGAATATGTTAGATTTGTTATTCTTTTACAAGCCACATTTCCTGGGTGGTGAATTACAGAAAATCAGCATCGAATACAATTCACCTTCCTCGCTTCAAATCTCAGTATGTTTTTCATGCTCTTCAGTTTTTTTCCACTGGAATTCAAGGTTAGAAAATGCACCATCTATGGATACAGTTTTACTTCAAAAGGGTAAAGCAAAAGTAGAATTTTCAAAGCGAAGAAAACAAAAGGATGTTGGGATTTTATAGGTTATCCTCGCTGATAAGCTTTCGCTGTGGATGCACTAAGCAGTGCAGTTAGTGAAATAATAGTGCCCTCTAGTGCCTTTATTAAGCACAGTGTTTAAACTTCTCTTTAAAGCAACACACCAAAACACGACCTTCAGTTTGAAGACGACGTAGAATAAAATGACTGTGTTAACTTAGTTATCAGGTCTTAACAGGATATTTTTTCTTACTTATGTCTGATTAAAATACTGGAAAAACCCCTCAGATTAAATACATATACAAACACATACTCATATGCATAAGTAGTACTTATTATCATAAAAAAATGTGAAAGAATAAGGTGGATGCTTTCTCTACAGCATCAGAAATAATGCTGAAATATTACATTGCCTCAATAAACATCGACCATATTTACAAGAATACAAAAATGAGAAAGAACGTGGCACAAATTTCAAATACACTTTTGAGAATGGAGCGTGAGCCATCCAAAAAGCTTTCATTTGTAAACCAAGGATTTCTGATAAAGAGGCTCTTACTGAAGATTATGACATATCAAGATACAGTTTTCACAGTCTTTCTTACAATCTTAATAGCACTTTCAAGTGAAGGAAACATGTAAAATATCACAAAATCCAGAATAATTACTAAGGTCAGCTCATTATCTGTGACTCAGAGGTAATTAAGAGAAAATCCAGCAAGGAATAAGCTCTTGATGGAATATTAATATCTACTTTGAACATCCTGGCTTCTGAAATATTAGATTATCTTTGACTGTTATGAATTTTTGGTTTTCCCAACAAGAAGTTTTATAAAGAATGTTAAAATACACAATAATTTTTCATATGATCAGAACATATTTTCTTATGTCTGATTAAGTAAGTAGTATTTTAAAAGCATACTTATACATCCTTTCAAAAAGATATTTTCCTCTGATGCAAATTAGCGTTTCAGAAGCCCGTCTTTACAACTAATACTATTACTTACTTTAAAAGATACATATGTATCAATTTGGTTTATAAAAATAGATCTTAAGAATCTAGCTGGACCTATAAAATGTAGGTTTAGACCTACAAACCACAGTTTATCCCACTCCACAACTAAAATTACACCATATCACATATTTAGGTGAGTATATGTTTATGGTTCAATACATCTGGCAACTTGTATTTATAACTGATTCATTAGAGGGCTGCCACATAAGATTGCTTTATTTATAAGATTTTTTTATTATCTTGAAATACTGCATGATATTTATTTTCCCAACAAAAGACAGGTTTTATGTGGAATCCTGAACAGAGGGGGACAGGTCAAAGTGTTCCCCAATTCCCCAATGTGTGGCATTTTCACACATTTAAAGTAGTACCTAACTGTGCAGAACTACTACTAAACTGGCATTGATGGGCTAACATAAAGATGTCATCTCTTGTGATCATATTAATTATTATCAAATAAAACATTTCACATGACATTATGAAATTATACTGTACTTTACATATATGATTTATTCAGGTTATCATTCCTCCACTGTAGGTTATATGGGAATTACTGTACTTACTTTTGAGATCTAGATTTCTGGCTCCTGCTGTGCTCTGTGTTGTGATTTTGGTGTCAATCTTTACAGTGTGGAGATTGCTGATATCCCTTGATATCATCACATTATGCCACTGGTTGTCATTCAGAGGTTTATTAGAACTTCCTTTGATGAGATTTGCACCGTTTCCCAAGTCAAACACATAGTGTAAATACCTGGGAGAAGAGAAAAAATTGGAAAAGTTTCCTTTTTCTTTACATAATGAGGGGCACTAATTAATATGTCTATTATTTCCTATTTCCTTATACTCCTCAGTAGTGCTGGTAAAACTGGAAGCCAACAATGAATGCCAAATGGGGAAGCCACCTTAATTCACAGTAAACACCATTCATTTAGATGAGCTGAGATGCAGTCCCAAGTTTCTGGAAAGCAACAAGCACTCCACATACTAATACATGCATATATAGATTAAGAGAAAACAAAAGGAAGGCTATAAACTGGTACTTCTTTGCAGTAATGTTATAGAAGTTATACCTATTATTTACTTTCATACTTTTCAGGCATCTAGCTTAATCTGAAGGAAAAAGTCACAATAAAGCATACGAAGTTTAACATGAAGAAACATTCATCAGTCATGTATGTCCAGTCAGACAACAATGATTTGTATCCTAAACTTTCCCTTGTATTTGTCCTATATATCTGTTTTGAACAGACTTTCATTGTCATTACGCTAATCAATACATACCCTTTTACTAATTCAACCACAATGAAATCATTTCCATCGCCACTGTTATAAAGTATCAATCCATCCAGAGAAGTTGTCTTGAACTGGAAAAAAAGGTGCATAGAGGTATATGCTTGTAGCGTGGCCAATGCAACATAACTTGCTTTTGTTTTAAAGGTTACTGGGTCTGCTATGATGTTCCTGAATCCAAATCTTGCATTTAGCTCACAATAATCGATGTCTCCATTTTTACATAAGTCAATGTATGCCATGCCATTAAATGTAAGACTCTGTAGATGCCCAATGAAATTAGAAGGCACAGAAGACAGGTAGCGCCGTTCTGTTATTATTCCTGTTTCTATGTTGTGGAATTCCAGCCGCGTGTGATCACCAGCCATTTGACCTTTAAATAGTAACAAGAAAACACATGTTAGTGTCTGAAATGGGAGGTCAAGAAGCACACCATGTGGTTAAGTAACTGCATCAATTTCACACTTTTCAGAAGGTGCAAGGCCAATTCTTGGAGCCAAAGAGGATTCTTCTAAATTCATCCAAACTTTTGGTAAACATCTGGGAGCCTTTCCACTGAGTTCAGTGTGTTTGTATAAGGCCAATGCAAGATTTCTAAACTGAAGCACAATGCCACAGTATATCAAATCGCTAACAAAATCCCTCCCTTCTGTTACACTTAACCAGACGTAGTTTTACTATAAACAAGTGCAATTAATTGACACAACATGAAGAACATAAAAGGCAAATCTCAGAGCTAAGACTACAACGTTAGAGTTTGATGGAAGGGAGGCATAACAATTTGGGGGATATTACTCCATGTGTTTTGCTTAGAAGTGCATGATTCAGCAAGCCAAAGGAAGGATTCCTACTTAAGCTGTCTTAGGCACACTAATGCTGGTCCTGCTGCAAAACCCAGTGCTGCAAGGGTGGGCAGAGCCTTCCTTAAAAGCAACCAGCTTTATATCATGGGGTTAAAACATGACAGAAGGGGACAGGGCCTAAGAGATAGACGAAGCGGAAAGCCTGCAGCAAGGGTGTATGCCAGTGTCTTGTAACCCTGGAAACAGCAAGGGACTTCCTTGCATCAGAAAGGTGGCCAAAACCAAGCCTCATAGGTACCTTTGAGTCATGCAAGGACTCCTGCACAGCAGAAAGCCTGAAATTTGCTGACTGTATAGCTAATCTGAAGGAAGGGTTCAACACTGCCGGAGTACACTGCGTACAGGTCAGGTAAGTTTTTGAGCTAATTATTAAATGCCTTACCCAGCACATCGAAATTGTGTCCACTGAAGAGTTCCCTTTTCTAATGGAGCTTAGATTTTTTTTCCATGCTTATTTTAAAGAAGTAGGGCAGTACTGTCACAAGGCTGATTCACGGTCACATTGTGTGAGTATGATGACAAAACAGCTTTGTATTACTAATCAATTTTACCACTTGATCTACTTTTTGCAAACCATGGACTAGATTTCTCAGTTCTTTAGTTGTTTCATGTCTTTCATAGAGTGCAAAGAAGGCAAACAGCAGACCCAGCCAAGCTGGAATACATCCTGGCATGAAACTGCTCTATAATACAAGTTGCCACAGTTGCAGTGCAAAGGTGTTGACAGACAGAGTTCCCTCTGTCCTTCCCTGAATGTACTATTCCAAGAGGAGCGTGTGAGGTCTGACCCAGGCTAGATGTGTTTAGCAGTGGTGCAGAAAGCCCTGAGGCAGGCTTAGATGGCTGTGGCTTCAGAGGTTTTATAAGCAAGTGTCTGTGTATGTGCGTGTGAACAGGGAAAGGATAAGGGCAAGACGAATGTAGATATTTGGAGTTTGCCCAGGGAGATGGATTCACAAACAGTTTAAGTCGCAGCACTGAGATAGAAATACAGGCATTAGTAAGGCTAGAGTGAAAATAGGTCTACAAACTTTAATAAAATAATAATAAAAAAGAAAAATGCTCTAATAATTTATGATAAATATTGACAAGCAGCTTGCTTAGCTTCAGGGTGCGTTCTGACCTAACGCTACTGATGTCATTGAACAGCATCAACATCTGGGATGTGCTGTCATACAGGCTGAGCACTGCAAGAGGCACCTTAATCTTCAAGGACATCCTTCTTGATGTTCTTGTTTCTAAACATCAGTTCTGAAGAGACCACTTCTCCTGATGTATTAGTAAAGGTGGGTTCTTCCTTGCAGTAATGAGTCAGGGAGCTGTCTTGCAAAATGCCAAGACTGTAACTTTCAGCAAGGCCGAGAGCTGTGTATTGGATCGCAGCCAGACAGCTGAAGATCATGTTTTAGAGGAGGAACATTATGTATTCCAGTCTTATATCACTTCAGATGGCATTGCCTAAATGTCATGGCAAAAATCCACCAAGCTTTGGCCTGTAGCACAGTATCCTCACTACGTTCACTACCTTAAATATATTACTTTCTTGAGCATAGTAACAAAAAAAAGTTCCAGAATCTGGGCTCACATCCCAAATCTCCCTCTTAACATTTCAGTTGTACAAACATGTTAACAGGACTTGAGACTTCACATAATGCTCCATAGTATTTGCAACTACAGCAATGAAGAAAAAGAGAGAGACTGTAGTTTGTGCTTAGAGCGTTGGGGTTTTTGTTTTTTTGGTTTTTTTTAACTTGTCAGGTTGGTGCACAAAATGCTATAGGACATACAAAAGGCCAAGTGAATTTCTCTTCATAACCATAAGCTACATATCCTTTCCGTTATCCAACTGTAGTGATCTCCTTCAGTCCACTTCTATTTTCTATACATTTCCAGAAAACAAAGTGCATCAGGGCTGCAAGTATTTACACTCTTCTATGACAGGTAAAATTTTGAAAATCGCCTGTATGACTTCCAATGAAAGCTCATTAAGCTTCTGAAAGATATTCTTTATCCATGAACAAATTATGCAATAGGGGTCCCTTCCAACCCAAAACATTCTATGATTCTATGATTTGTCAAAGATAACTAAGCTCAATACATGGATGAGCAGATCATACTTTATAACCTGTAAAAAATGTGAAGTGAGGCTGAATTATTTAATGTCTTCCCCTCCAGATTAAGCCTTCTGGATCTGATTTTTTTTTTCATATGTGACACAGGAAATGGAATCAGAAAAAAACAAACAGTGCATGGCAGAGGGAAGCTGGAATTTTTGGGAGAAAGTCCATTTTTTCCTCATGCTCCTGTAAGGTTATAATAGTCTTTCACATGAATAACTACTGGGTTATAATATTTTAACCACATTTCTGATTGTCAGGATGTCTGAAGAGAAGTTCTAAACACTCCATTCTGATATGGCAACTCTTCCACTACTCCTTTAGGAAATTCTACTATGCATTACATTGCATTGTGTACCTTTGGCTTTCTACCAGATAGGAGTGAAAACTTAAGCTCATAAAGGCTTTGGCAACACACTATGTTAAAAAAGAATTTTACAGTGACAAAAATGTAATATTCCTGGGACTAACAGCAGATTTCCCATGTTATCAGACTTTCAAGGTGCCTCTAGATCCTTCTCTCATACCAGTTCCCTCCTCACTGTTGGAGGAGGCCACAGATGGGCCACACAGCTTCCTGCAGGGTGTATAGGAAAGCTTTGCTTTACCAAGAGGCAACTGAAAAGACTCACTGGCTTTAACAGATAGAAGAGAATAGAATAGTTCAGTTGGAAGGGACCTACAACAAGCATCTAGTCCAACTGCCTGATCACAAGTGACCAAAACTAAAGCACGTTAAGGGCATTATCTGAATGCCTCTTTAAATATTGATAGGCATGGGGCATCAACTACCTCTCTAGGAAGCCTGTTCCAGTCTCTTAGCTATTTGCTGAGACCATTATATTTGATAGTAACTACAATTATTCACAATGAAGAGTGATTACAAGAACTTGCAGTCCTGCGTTCTTTACTTATTACTTCACCTGACTAGACTCTATATGATAGAAATCTCCTGTTTTCATCTTAATCCTTCACATACATTTTGAACTTTTCCGAAGCTGTGCTGAGCAGCTGGGACTGAAACCAAAGGTGAAAATGGTACTTCTTGGTGTTTTTGTAACCTGTAGTATTTGTAAATAAAAAATCTGCTATGAGTAGCCCAGGAAATCTGCATTTAGTGCTAGATGCTATATTTTATTCAGATCTAAACAGCTTCCTCTAGCTAGAAAATGTCCCCAAAGTAGCCTTATTATTTGAGTTGCCAGTTGAAGAAGCAAGATGGTGATATTTTTCAGTATAGTTCCTCCAGTACTATATATTTATTTTCACAAAGGAAATAATTGATTTTAGGCCATCTGCTTTCTTGGGAGAATGACCAAAAGCATGATCACATACACAGACTAAATTTTTGCTTCACCTCTACAAGATCTATTGGTAATTTCTGATTCTAGAAAATACGTTTTTGCAGCTCTATGAAGACATAACAATTATTTTTTTACTGGTGATGTGGTCTTGAAGGTTCTGCTGAGATGAAAGACTACAAAAGAAGATGCTTTCCTTTTAAAAAGACATTAAAATTGTTACCATTTTAACAAAACTTAAAACCAATCATAAAAGCTATTTAATACTATATGAAAACAAAGGAAAATACTAAATAGCTAACACAAAATTAGGCACATTGTATTGTGCAAGGAATCGGGGTCAGAAGCAAGGCCTGTTGCTATTAATGACACATACATAAGCTTTATCTTTAGCAGAATAAGATCAAAGTCTTCTCCATTACCATTTCTGATAATATATACAGAGGAATATATTTTTAACATCTGCTGGCATTCATGCCATATTTCTTCTCCCATCCCAACTGCTATTTTAGTATTTGAGAAAAACCTATTGCCTAACATTTAATTATTGAGGACAGCTGATGGAAGGTTTAAAACACAATAGAATATCCTTCAAACACTTATGAAATCCTTTCTTACAGCAAGGCTTAGAGTTTAACCTTAGCATAAATTCAGTGTGTTGCCAAAAGCATTTTACTTGCCTTCTCATTAGTGATGTATCAAATGACTTCTCTCCAATTACTGTATAAAAACATTCATTTAAGTCAGCATGGAGGTTTTCATTAATTTCAATAGCAATGTTAGAGTAATATTAATATCAAGTGTACTAATGCACTCGTAGCACCAGTATTTCAAGATGCATAACATGGATTTTTGATCTTACCGAAGAAAAGAAAAAAGCATCTGTTGCTTTCAGATAAAGACATTTTACTTCTGTCATTTTTTGTTTTGTGTTTCCCCCCAGTAACACGGAGTCACAATGCCACACTACCTGTCATGGCCTGCTGGTCATCCACCATTAACTTTAAACTTTTTCCACGCCGAACCACACGCACTGTGTGCCACTCATTATCATTGAGGTTATAGCCAGCAAAAAGGGTTTCTGGACCTTTGCCTGTAGGATATGCCAAACAGTCATTATGCAATCTTTAAATCAGTTTACATGTGAACCTCACAGAGAAAGAGAGAGAGACACAGAGACTGGCTGGGCAAACGTTAAAAGTCACATCAAGCAAGAAAATTACAAAGTATAAGCAAACCTCAAAATATAGAGCTACTACGTTAAAACACTTCTACTATATCTTTAGCTATAACAGTGTATTTTATATGCACATTAAATATGAACCAGGTTGTAATAAATAGGCACAGTCAACACGGATTTAGTTATGCATTTTCCAGTCATGGAAGGAGCGTGTATTTACAAGACTGGATTTTTGTTCCTTCAGTAAAAATAGTTGGGGGGAAAGGTACAAGTGGTAAATATGTGTGCATGTGTCTCATATTTTTGTTAAATTTATGTCAGCTTCTCAGCCTATGTTTATTTAATTAGGACTTCTCAGATCATCATCTATTACCTTATTATCCAGATGACTTGTTAATATTCAGATCCAGTACCTTCTGATGTTAGCAGACCTCCAAACCATACTCTCCTTTTTTTCATTTAATGGACACCTTTTTTTGCAATCTGCTATTTTTGTAAGCAATACAACAAACATTTTTGAAGCAAGTGTAATTCTACGTATAGCACAATGTACTTGCAATAACCGAAGTATTCACAAATCTAGGAAACAGGATATCTTTGATACCTAGGAAAAAATATCTCAGAAGAAAATTATTATGGAAAATTATCCCTTGCACTGTTGACCAAGAAGAGAAAGAAAGAGAAAAATCCTGACTATGAACTATCATTGGTAAGAGTCAGTGATTGACCAAGCACTGGATCAATCAATCAAAGCTTCAGTGCTCAAACCTGAGCTATTGGACCTATGTGGTGACTGTCCAAAAGGTAAAGCTAATCTGCAATTAACAAATTACAATCTTGCAAGATAGAGACCTCCCGGGCCTGTTTATCAGTTCCTGTGGCATAATAAAGGCTACTGATAACTGAGAGAGACATACAATGAAGTAACTTTTGGCATGAAAACATCAGGGTTACACTGAGTCAGACCATTAGCTCCACTATGTCATTTCAGGTGACTACATCGCCTGTGTCAGCCTTTTTTTAAAAAGGGATACGCCTCAGGCTCTGAAACTCTCCCACATTTCTTTTTGGATTATTTTCCAGCCAGTGCAAGCTAACTGTGATGGAAAAGGTCTATTAATAAATGGGTACTATATGACATTGTCTAAAGCCAAATCCTCTCTGACTTCAGGACTGCACAGAGGCAAAAAGCCATTAAATAGCTTGATGTAGCTGTTCATCATATTGGACAGTTTTCATGTCAGACTTTTTCCATTTTCTATCAGCATTTTTTAATTGCTGCTGGTTGATTGCCCTGCTTTTAGATGCAATCTTTGTTATTTTGAGCATGTCAAGGGATCTCCAGGAATAAAAATAGTAGCTACAGCAAAGACAGTGAGATTCTGGTAACATCATGTTGCTTTCTCTGTGCCTCTGATTGACACCAGGCTAGGAAAGGTTTGCAAACCCAGCAGAAAGAGATGTATATGTACTCACCGATGTCAACTACCTGAATTGTTCTGTTCCTTGCATGTTTACTTTCTTTGACAAGAAAAAGACCAGCTTGCATAAAACTTAAGTGAATAATGTTCTCTTTGGATACGATGATATAGATGCAGCAAATAATGCTCTTTAAGCAATTTCTATTATTCTATATTTTATTGAGGGGTTCAATGGAAGCAATTTCTAACTAGATTTGGAGACAAAGGATGGATTTGCAAAAAACACTTAAATGACATGAGTAAAAATCTTAGTGAGAGTCAATAGGCCTGCCTAGAAATACGCCACTTACTATTATTTTAAATGTTAGCCCTTCTTCATTCTTTAGTCCAACTTTTTTTTTTTTTAATTTGTAAGTAGTTGAACTACTTACTCTCTCTTATCTCGCAACAGGTCTCTAAGGGACATAAAAGCATATGCAATTTTAATTTGCTCTCACATTAACAACACTCCGTAGTGTCCCATTCATGTAAAGGTGCTCAGCATTTATAAATATGAAATCCGACTTGGTTGCTCACATTCATAAAGGCAAATATATCTATTATCTTTTAACGGTTAAGGACCTGTAAACTCTTCCTGTTGGAAAATTAAATGTATGTTTTCCTCTGTATCAGTCTATTTCCTTTGCAAGAGTATGCCAAGTAAAAAATCAGGTCAGAACTACCTGTGAGCTGCCTTTCTTCGCAGTGCACGCAATCCAAAACTGGATTAAAGGGAACTACTGTGGAAGTGCTATGAAAGGGACAAACCTGGATATAACACGGTGTGGGAGCAATGCACTGAAAGCAGTCCTGGCCCTGCAGAAACTATCTACCTTGCACGGACAAGAGGCTTTTCTTTCCTGAAGCTGACCACTAACAGAGAAGAGGTGGGGTTTGCTTTGTCATAGAGTACAAGGAACTACTAAATAGCAAGATCCAGTGTCCAGGTATTGTGTATGTACCTGTAACATCTTGTTGCATCTCTGCAAAGTAGTGTAGTTTTCCATGGCAGCTGGAGATGTGGAATGGGAAAGGACAGATGCCTACTATTCCTGTAGAGAATGCAGCGCTTGGGCCGCTTTCTGGCCAAGAACATGCTTTTGCACATAAAAGTAGTAAATGTGCTTGTGAGTGGTGTATTTAGGAAAAAATTTTCTAAATGCTTAAACACAAAACCACTAGTCCTTAAGATGACACTAGAGTACAAGGACTGCAGATGGAAACTCTTAACATATCTTGTTAAATAGCATTGACCAACCTCCAATTTGGTTTATATTAGTACTTTCCTCAGTGACTTTCAACTATATTGACCTGAAATTAATTTAAACATCATATTAATGAGATCATAACAGTCCAGGCTCTTCTTCTGTTCTGGTTTATAGTGCTTTAGTTTATAGCGAATCTACTATAAATCTAAGTCTACTAAATCATTGGCTCTCCCCTCTTATTCTGACTTTACACTGATCTGATTGCACTTCATTTAAATCATACCAGCAGGAAGTGCTGTTGTATTTAAATAAGAATTGGCATATTGCCACTTTGGGGGGGAAGCTTTTTTTAACCTCTTTTTTTTTACAAATATTAAATATCTCCCATGGGAAGAAAAGCAAGAGTCCTAATTTGAAGAAAAAAAAAAAAAAAAGGATTTTTTTCCATTTTCTGTGGATTGATTGTGCTCTTCCAACTTTATGTCCCTCTACTCCTTTTTCCCATGCTGTCTTTCCCCTGGAACTCATATGTCTCTTTCTAGACAGGACACAGTTAATTTGCTTCATGTACCCAGCACTCACTCACTTTGAGCTACTGATTCTCTCAGACACTAATACCTTAATCATAAACCTTTCCTTTCAGAGACAGGCTGTAACCTGCAAAAATACACTAAGTATCTCCTCTCGCTTAAGTATGAAATTTATTATGAACACCTATATATCCAGCTCTTTTTCTATTCTAAAGGCTTAAATAGCTACTAGATTTTATGTATCCCTAGTGTGAATGGATAGTACCAAATAAAAAAGTATAGGCACTTTTATGGGTCCCAGAATTTGCTCATAGTCCATCATGCCAGTAAAATCTGCACATCCATTTAAAAGCAGGTAATTGCTTGTAGAACCACCTTTTTACATGGGAAAATACAGACTGCTCAGGCAGCCAATAATGGTACAAATCTTGATGATGCAGTTCATTATGAACTAGGACATATAAATACAAAGCCCCAAACATCCTAAATTATACCTTTACTTCAGCACCCAAAGTTGAGGTTACTTTGTTATCAGCACCTCAGCTAGAACTTACCTGCCTCTGGTCCTTTTTAGAGTTAAAGGAAAAAAGTACAAAACTCCTAAAGAAAAATCTAATTTTCAGTGTGCTGAATATTCTAAATGTTCTCTGGAGATTCCTATTCTCTTTACTGTCTTGTGAGGTGCCTGTTCAGCCTAATTCAAGCGCAGAAAATCTGCTGAATTCAAATGAGCCTGCTATTTCATGGTAACAGGCATACTTACTTTTTCTTGAATAGATACCTATCCTGTTGTACTTACATTGGGAGATCTTTTAACCAACTATTTGAATAGGACATCATAAAAACAAACTGGTCACTTTGAAACAAGATACTCGCCTTTGGCATTGTATCAAAACACATTCAAAACTAGTTGTCTGAACTGAACACAGGAATTATTACTGGCTTTTACAGTGCCATCCACCACCACCAAGGCACATACCAAAATGCTGCCCAGGCTTGCTCAGAGCATTCAATTCTGTGATCAAAAGTAGATATAAAAAATGAAATATTGAAAGAAAGACAAAGTAAATAGAGACTAGCAAGGGAGACTGGATGGTTCAGTGAATGCCATGCTAACCTATAGAATCCATTTAGTTACTGGCAAACCACTACTATTTATTGGTCAGTGTAAGAAATGTCAGCAGTTTCAACTTAGTTTGCTAATGGATAACTGCGTAGTACAGCAACCAATATCATGTGGCATTTCCTATTTGAAATTTAAGAGAATAAGTGGACAAAAGGACAAAACACCAAGATCACTCCAGTTAATAGAGAATATTACGTTGAGGACAGGGATGCCAGGATTTCAGATGGAGTCTTAACAGCTGAGATAATATATACATAGCAAGCTGAATTGCAAAGCGAGGAGAGCTGAGTGGCTCCGAGAGACACCTAAGATTGTTATTGTAAATACCTGATGCAGAACCAAACAACTCTGTGCCATCTCATTTATCCTGCTTTCCAGGACAAACCTAGCATGCCTGTAATGTAGGCTTCTGTTCCAGCAAGCAGCCAGTCTTACAACTGCTGTGCAAACCCTGTGAGGCATCTATATTATATACCAGTTTGCAGCATAAAACGTTCCAAAAAATATTCCTCCAGAACTAGATACAGAAACACAAGACAAATAGGGGAAGGCATCTTAATCTTCATTATACTTTCTATAGTGGTTGGCT